GCACCAGCGGCGTCCTTACCTACGACACCCAGCGATCTCAAGGATCCGCGGCTAAGAGGCATCACCACGACCTGGCTCGAGCCGAACCGATCACCACCAACACGCCCGGCACCAATCACCAACTCGTGATTCTTTCTCCTTCTTCTTCTTTCTCTTTCCTCTTCCGAGGGAATAATTTATAATAACTTCTTCCGATTATAACTTTCTTTACTTTGTTACTTCGTTGTTATCTCGAGCGAAGGTTACTTTCTTTCTGAAATATATATATATATATGTATGTGTGTATATATATATATACGTTTATACAGGTGGTTTGTACAGGTAAGGTTTATCGGTAGATCTCTGGCGCTTTCATTTTTTCCTTTCTCAGTCGTCTCGAATGTGTACCCCTGTCCGTTCACTTGGACAACATGGCAAAATGGGAGGTAGAGGAAGGGAGGTATAGGAACTACGGTTCCCGTAGACACGACGGAAGTCACCCCGACGGAACTCGACTCGGTGAAGAGGAGGAACCGCGTGCGATCCGGCACTCGTTCGCGTCGGAGGGAAGAAACCCTTTAAACGAAAGCGTACACGCTGTATTACCGGCGACACGTCGCGGTACGTGCACGAGTGTGCAGCCCTGCGTGCGTGTAAGGGAGCAACGAAAGGGTTCGTCGCACTCGTTGCTCCTAACCCTTTTCTTCCCTCTCTTTCTCTTCTCCTCTCCTGCCACACGAATCCTATCGCTCTAACACCGGCAGAAAGTACGACGAAAAGAATGTCCTCGCCATTGAACAGCACCGCGTGTCACCAACCACCTTCGTTGTCGCACGATTATTCCTCTACAATATTTCCTTCCTTTCCTTCTTCCCTCGTCGTCGTATCCTTATGTTCCTCGTAGTCCTTGCGCTCTTCGAACGGCGACCGGCTCGTCGTACGTCCAGCGCGCCTGGACACCACTACCGTCCGGCAGAAAGTGTCGACTGCCACGAGGTGGACACCTCTGCGAGCCTCTGCCAGCGGCAGCAGCACCAGCGAGACAGCGGCGACGACGACGGCGGCGGCGGCAGCAGCAGCAGCGGCAGCAGCAGCGGCGGCGGTAGGCAGCACCGGCGGTGCTGGTAGCAGTGGTGGTAGTAGCGGCACTGACAGCTGCAGCTGGTGGTGCACCGGCGCATCCGGCTACACCACGCATTCGTGTACGGAACGCAGTCACGTCCTAGGCTACTTTTACTCCGTCCATATGTATCTGCCCGTTCAAGTCTTCTCACCGATACTCCTGACTTGTAATATTACGAAAAATTAATAAGAAACGCGAGATACGTATATATATATCCTTTATATATATATATATATTACATATACGTATATATAATATATATATAATATCCGCCGTTTTCTATTTTACGATTCCGAAAATTCATATTTCGTATAAACCGGGAGAGAAATAATTGGAAATAATTGGAAGGCGGACAGATCCGTCCTCGTGGACTCGTCGGCGTGTACTGAACCTCGTGGACACGGTCCCGCGTG